TTTTAAAGATTTTGACTATCTACACGGCAAGGATAGCGGGAGCCGTAAAAGCGCCAATCAGAGGCTTCAAACCAGGGTCTCGGGCAGATGAGCCACCGCTACACCTAATCGGGCGACATGTCTCGATGGACGATGTTATCCCACGTTGGCTCTCTACCACAGTACGGTTTTTTTCGCAGTGCGGAGACAATTCGAGTTCCCCATGGCTTCCATGGGTGCCTCGTGTGAGCTGCCCCGGCCGGCGTCCCATGATGCGGAATGCTTTGGTCAGTAGCGCATCGAATCTCGCCAAGCGAAACCACCCTATGCGTGTACGTCTGAATGCGACTGGTATTGCGAACTATGATTTGGTCAATGTTACTCTCCAGGGCATTAGCGACAACTCAAGAAGCAACATCGTCACGATTTAGCGAACTCTACGGATACAAGATTGGGAGAGCGTGAGATTGCCCTTGCTCAGCCCGTGCGGCAACGGCCGTAATCCCACGCAGACTAGCGAATTACTTCAATTTCCATCACACTCCTGCGCGCTAGCAAGAAGGCATTGTTTGGTACGCCGGCGGACGATGATGTTCCAATGGTCCGGCTTCACGTCTCGAATTCACCAACCCGATGCGACGCACATAGTTATCCAGGAGCTCGACGTGTCGTACTCTGTGCAGAGGCTTGAGACCGCCGTGGCAAGTCGTCGCGAGGCAACGCCAAAGCAACGAAGCGTGAAAGGCTATCTAGGAACACTGGCTTGCCTGCCACAATGGAGACGAGGCGTTGAATGGCAACAACGTGAATCTTTCCAGAGGTCGGCACTAGTCTTTTGTCTCATCGTGGCCCGGTGCTTGGTGGCATGAGGACTGAGGACGAAAAGAGGCATCTAACCACCAGAACTTTGGTCTCCACCTGCCGCACATACATTTCCCAAGGGGCCGGTTGCACCAAGATCAAGTCTCGGGCTGGGCCATTTCGAACTCTGGCCATCGACTGGATGGAATACGCCTCTAGAGAGCGGTGCCGCGACGTGGTGCCTCTAGCGTGCGATGACTATGACCGAACGGCTCTGGAACCCTTCCAACGTCTGAACCCTTGGACCAGCCAACAAACCCGCCAGCCCGGATTGGCATGGCATCACAGACAAGAGACTCAGTCACGCCGCTTGGGTCGTGGAACTCTATTTGGGCCGTCCCGATTCTTCGAAACTCGATGTTTTTGCCGCGTGTCGTGGCCGGTGGTCGGACGGCTGTTCTCAACGAAGACTTTGAACCACCAGCCCACCTTGTTGTCTCTGCCAGTCGAACATGTAGGATGCAAGCTGTCCCGCACACTGGAACTTGGAGGCTTGACAAGATTGAGCTGCCCCGATGCCGTTTTGGGACACGATGCCGCGAACAAGATGCTGACACGCATCGTCGTCCCAAGGAAGGGCGGGAGGAATAGCAACATTAGTGGCCGTCACGAAGACATGGATCGGTACAGATTCTCTCCGCGGCCCGTACATGATCCCATTACCTTTGAGGAGGCACAGGCGCCGTCGTATGGTTCGAGGTCGCTATATCCAGTCAACAGTGCTACCCACACTCCAGGCACCGCCTGGAACAGCGCGATATGGGGTGACTGCAGGACATCCAATGTCATGTCCAACCTCTAAAGGCTTCGACTAATAACTTAGAGGGACGGATAAGGCCGGGCTGTGCACACCAACAAGTCGAAGGCGGGCCCGGCTTGCACACCAAAGTGCTGCCACGGGCTGCAAGCGTGGAGAGAGGCGCGACGCCGTTCATTGGGCCAACTCCCACACTCATGTACAAAATCGCAATGAGAGAGATCCCTGGGCCTGGGATGAAGGAGGCTTGTTCAGCACAGCACGAGCACCCGCAGTGTGCAGTGAGTAAAAATATCCCGCCCCTCAACCACGTCGACACCTTACCTACAGTAAGCAACGCAACACCATATGTGTACCGGCGCGACCTACAGACACAGAGCACAAATACAGACAGACACGTAGAGTGTGGGAGAAAGTACACCGCAGCAGCACCTCCCGCCAGTGCCTCCACAATAACCCGCTCCCCCCTCATTGACGATGAAGCCCGTTTTGGAGTCAAGTTATGCCATTTTGAGGCCAACATGCGGAGTGCCCAAGCTGTTACTGACGCATCTGACGCACACTGGCGAGTTGTTGTCGCCTCAAGATACAACTTTGGCTATTGCTATCCACATTTGGCTCTGAGGTTGGCAAAAGGGGGCTGTGGCTGTTGGACGTGCTTCATGCACACTATTTCCAAGTCAACTTTCTTTTTTTTCGAACCCTCACGTTGCTTTACGTCCGTCAGCATATGCAGGACCTTGCATATACCGCTTGCTGTTTCCAGGTCCTTGAATTTACAGCACGGTCGAAAGTTGCGACGCCATTTTCGATGTGAGAGTTGATGGGAGAGTGGTACAGGAAGAAGAAAGTTTTGCATAGACCCAGAGACGTACGAATACTTTTGTCATTGTGCAGACCGGGCTCGCGACATGAGCTGCATGTACACTGGCGATCCAATATATCTCCTTGTTCATGGAGGACGAACCAAGGGACGCTGGACGCATGGTCGGCAGCAGAGCGGAAACGGATGATTGAGCCCTACGGAGTAGGCACTTGGTGCAGTGCTTTGCAACCCGGTTGCGGCGACGTCGACACCTCCCACAGCAGACGGGTCAATAGATCCAAATCATACCGACGGCATCCCGCGGCGGCGGAGAGCGACGCCCCCAGCACCACACCTGACTGGCGGGGGAACGGCTCTGCTTTTTCGTACGCTGCCAACAGGCTACCAGACTACGAAGTGAGATACTTACAGCTGCAGACGGAGACTCCCAACTAGGCTCTTGGGCCTGACAAGTTACTATCTGGGAATGCTTCGTACAGCTTCTGCACCTTCGCTACCTGTCTCATTTGGGGCCCCTGTCAGGCCCCTCGCGTCTACCTACTGGGACAGGACCCGAGAGCACTTGAACGCTCAAGGGGGGTTTAGCCAGATACCAGGGTCTGCACCAGTGGACACAACTTGACCCTGCTCCGCAGGACGACTGTACATGCGAGAAGTATTATCTACCGTACTTCTCGATGCCAGGGATGTACCAAGGCCCAAGCTGTTGAGGGTCTGGCGGCCCTGGTCAGCACTGGCCCAAGGGGGTGCTGGCTGCCATTCTGTAGCGCGGCAGTGGGTGTGAGGTCTGGTTGTCGGAGGCCACCAGCTTAGCCAACAAAGTACTGAGTACCAGAGCTATCAAGTACCCATTGCGACTACCTACGCAGTATGGCCGGCCGTCACCATCTCGTTCCCAGATACCCGTCTCCATCAACACATACGGCGTACAGAAGTTGTCGAGGTGTGTTGTAGACGACGACAGATGGTTCCTTTTCGCTCCAAAGCTAATGAATGTCTGTCTCTGTGGCACACCACCGCGGCAGACGGCTCAGAGAGCACAACGGATGGAAATGAGAGACCATTTCAGAGACAGATCTTGGCATCCCGCATCGGTGGGCAGAGACAACGAAGAAGGACTCACACCCCCCTCTCTCTGAGTCTCTTGAAAGTGTCGAGAAGGCTCGCAGTCGAAGGTCGAAAAACCGAGTCTGGAATGGGCGCTGTTTCGTGGCTCTACTACCCGGCGCCCTCAGGCCGAGCCCCTCCAGCCAGGTCAAGCAAGGCTAGTTCGTTTGGGTGCGTATCTTGCGCTAAATGAGGTATCCACGGAAGCAGAGGGGACAAGAGGGGATGGTGCAGACAGGCGAGGAGGAGGAGGAGGAGGAGGAGGAGCAACAAGAACGAGGGAAGAAGAAGAAGCCGCCTCTCGTCTGGTCTATGCACGCACACCACCCACACACCCCATGGACAAGGCTCACGCCCACCACACACCCAAGTCGAGGTCTCCAGCAACCACCCTCCTCCCCACCACGCCCCCTTTCCGCTCGACGCACCCCTGACCCCTGCCGCAAGGTCGGCGTACGGTACGGTACCGCCTCTCACTCTGGCGTTGCTGCTGCCGCTGCCGCTTGCTCGCTCTCGTCGCTTTTGCTTGTTGCTCTGCCCTACGACCTCCGCCCCCTGGGCGTTTGGTCCCCTGTCATCTTTGGGGGTTCACCATCTGGAGGAGACTGATCCGCGTCGTCCACCGGGTCCCCAAGTGCCAACAGCAAGCAAGCCACGGCCGCCGAACCCATGTGCCCCCGGTCTGCAAGATGTGGTGGTCTCTTGTCTCTGCGTCTGTCTCTCTCTCTCTCTCTCTCTCTCTCGACAAGAGCGTAGCTCGCAGCCGGTCTATATCAGTCGTGAAGCCCCCAAGGCTCTTGGTGATTTGTTTCTCGCCCCCATCAGTCTCTACATCTATCTATCAGACCCAGATCTCCGGATACCCACGACACCAAGACGACGGTCCATCACCTAGTAGTCTTTCACACGTTTTCAAGAAAGACATCCTCCACCCAAACCGTCTCTTACTTCACTCTCGCCAGCAACAACTCTCTTCTTACTACACTTGGTTACTTGACGCGGCAACTATTCAGGAACCATATCCTCGGAGGCATACTACCGCGTGCAAAGTAAAGCTCAGAGAAAGACAGACAGAGAGAAAGCATTCGCCAATCATTTAACGGCCCGGTACCTCACAACGCGGAAACGCCGCGGGCATGAACATCGCTGCAGGTGCGCTTCACCAGCCCCACATCCAAAGCAGGCGCAGCACAGCGCTGCAGCTTTTAGCAGGTCAAATAGTACAGACGACTGACAGCAGTGGGAAGAATAGCAGTGACGGCATAATACAAGGCAACTGTGTGGCTTTGCTTCGGACTGAGCGACAGCTACAGCAAACCAACCAACCAACCATATAACATCAACTCTGCGACTTCGCAACTCGGATTTGACCGAGAGGCCTTCCACAGATCATCACCCTTTACCTCTCTCTTCACCACATTACCATATACACACACAAACACACACACACACACATCTACCTCCTACAAAATGGCTTCGATAGACCAGTCATATACCATGCTCCCCAGGCACTTGAGCCCCCAGCACCACGACGACTACATTCTTTACCCTGAGCCACCACAGGGAGTCTTCAGCACAGCACCCATGGAGATGAGCATCCCTGCCGACGCCTCTTACTTGTTCCCAACCTCCATGGCAATGGATCACCAGCCCGCCCTCTACGACAACAACTTTATGTACCAAGGACGCACATCACCTGGCCTCTACGAGGACGCCGAGTTCCAACTGCCTTCTTCCAACCTTTCTACCGCATCAGCACCATCGGCGGCCTCCTCCAACGTAGGCTCGCCCCAATCACACAACGACCAGCCGGCGCCAATCCTCGACTGGGCGCACCCCGGCATCGCTGTGACCCCGGGCATCGTGCCCCACGACTACTACAACACCGCCGGTACAGAGTACTCGACCTACGCCGGCCCAGGTATGGAAGACTTTGCAACTTTTGAATTTGCAAACACCAAGCCCCCGGGTTTCGTGGGTGAGTTGCCAAACGCTTCTAGAACCACTCTTGCGCCCTCATCTCGCGCGCTTTCTTCTTTTCCTTCTCCTTCACACGAGTCAATTGGCTCTCATTCTTCCAACACAGCTATAGCTTCAGCTGTGCGCGTGCGCGACTCGGGCCCGGTGCTGGATACTCACTCGTCCTCCTCATCCCCTGTCACGCCCGCATCGCGCAAGTCAAGCTTGTCCTTTGTCTCTCCTAGCTCTACTTCCTTCTCTTCTCCTCCGGCGCCCGTCTGGGGCCACTCGCCAAAGACTCCTCGAGTCTCTACTTTCTTTTCTCAGAGCAGCGGCCATTTCGTCGCTCCTCTTGGTTCTTCTTGTTGGTTTTCCTCTGTCAAGCAGCAGCATCATCCTCCTTATCGCACATTGCCCGCTGACCACCTCTCCGCTCCAGACCCTTCTTTGATCCACCCCGACATCAGCCGCCCCATGATGGCCAACTTCCAGAACCCCAACCAGTATCCCACCTCGCCTGCCCTCTCGCCCTCATCACAGTCAATGTCAATGGTTCGCAACGGCAGTCAATCGCCCTTCCTCCACAGCGGTTTCCAACAGCAGCAGCAATTCAGCCCTTACGCTACTCCCGGTGACGCCCGCCGCCCCAGCCTTCACTCATTCCCCTCAACCTACTCTGATGGCAACAACTACAGCGGCGATGAGGGCAAGGAGAAGCAGAGATGCCCCCATCCCGAATGCGGCAAGGTCTTCAAAGACCTCAAGGCGCACATGCTCACTCACCAGACTGAGCGGCCGGAAAAGTGCCCGATTGTGACTTGCGACTACCATGTCAAGGGTTTCGCTCGCAAGTACGACAAGAACCGCCACACCCTGACGCACTACAAGGGAACCATGGTGTGCGGTTTCTGCCCCGGCTCCGGTTCAGCGGCTGAGAAGTCGTTCAACCGCGCCGATGTCTTCAAGCGTCACTTGACAGCCGTCCACGGCGTCGAGCAGACACCACCCAACAGTCGCAAGAAGAGCAGCAGCGCCAACAGCGGCAAGAAGCTCGCGGGATACCCTCCCGATGCCACTGGCAAGTGTTCCACTTGCTCGCAGACCTTCTCCAACGCTCAGGACTTTTACGAGCACTTGGACGACTGTGTGCTGCGCATTGTGCAGCAGGAGGACCCTTCTGAGGCCATCAACGCTCAGCGCCTGGCCGAGGTTGAGAACGACAAGGAGGTGCACCAGACATTGGAGAAGAACCATCTGCCCACGCAGACGCAGATGCCCTCGAACGAGGAGGAGGACGACGAGGAGATGATGGAGGACGATGACGAGGAAGACAGCAAGCAGCGTGTCAGCGCGTCGCCCAAGAGGAAGGGCAACCCGGTCAACGGTGTTCAAAAGTCGCGCGGCCTCACGCACTCCCGTGGAGGCGGCCCTATGCCTGTCAAGGCCAAGGGTCGCAAGAACAGACGCGACTACCCTTCTTCCTGGGGCTTCGACAAGGGCCAGATGACGATGAAGAAGCGGGTGATGGCAGTGTTTGATGGTCCTCGGCGACTGGCCAAGGACGACATGATGCTGTCGACGGATCACGAGGTGCGCATCAAGCTCACGGACGGCAACAACTACGTGACAGACCTGGACGTGCAGACGCTGAAGCGTGCCGAGGGCTTCCTTGGTGCGACGGATGAGGAGAAGGGACCCTGGATCTCTGACGATCCGACTGAGGAGCAGCTGCGGGAGATGCAGGCGATGCTTGAGAGCTGCCAGGCGGCTCAGTAATGGAAGGCGGCGGAGGACAATATCATCGGGATGCTTCATTCGTTTCTTTTTCATTCTTTTTTTTTTTTTGGGCAGGAGCGATTTTGACGAGCGGAAAAAAAATCTCTACACTACATTTTGGTGTTGCATGGTTTGGCGCAGACTTGTACGGGACTACAACGACTGGCTTACGAGGACGGGATGGACATGAGGTTCATGATTGGACGGAATAAGTTCCATGTTGTTTGCCCCTTGAAGAAAAAGGAGCATTTGATTGATACCCTATACTATATGATAGCCTAAGGCTCGATGGTATAAAACAAGAGACACTTGTCAACTCTCACTTTCACTGTCACTATTCCCGCTCTTCTCACTCGCCGTGATGAGTTACAACCGTGATGCCTCGGGTATAGATGGGGAATGATGCGATTTGGATAACGAATCCCGATCTGATTACTCGTCGGAAACAAGGGATGACGGAACAGGAACAGGACTGACGGTTTTGACAGCGCGACAGGGTCAGCGATTGGCAGCAAAGATCGGCAGCAATAGTGTCAAGCAAGGGAGTGTGGACGGGCTGTACTTGTATGGGATGGATAGTCGTGCCGAAGACTCGCAGCGGTATTACCGGATCGGGGATGGTGAAGGGGGGGGTTTTGTTCTTTGGCCCTAAGATCCCCTATCAGGCGTGTCAGACTGCCAGATTTATCACGAATCACGATGGGGTGCGTGCCTTGGTTCTTGTGCGACCTCATCAGCTAGTCTAACTAGCTGCTTTTTTTCCCCCAAGCCCCCAAGATCCTAGAGTGCCAGGCAGCAAGAATAAACGGTTACTGGTGAGTGGTTGGTGGTTCCGAGTTCCGCGCTCTGCCGCGAGCGACGGAGGATGAGCCGATGGAGGATGAGGATACTGGTGGCCGGTGGCCGGTGGTCGGCCTGTTTGGGTAGCCCGTACCCGTACCTGTGGCTGGCCAGAGAAAGGGGGGGGGGGGGCATGCTGACGGGATTCGGGATCGAGGGTGGTGGATGGACGGATGGTTGATGACGATGGGACGAAAAATGTAAGGTACGGATTACGTTTGTTCGTGTCAGGGTACCTACGTAAGTAAGCATGATGTGCTGTGGTGGGGAGGTATGATGAAGGAGGATGAGGATGACCCGAGGGAGGATCAAAATAGCCATGCATAAGTGGCATGCGCATGTTGTGGCCGCAGTCTACCTATTGTCGGTGTGTGTGTGTGTGTGTGGTTGTACTACTAATTACAAGCATTTTGCACATTGGAGAGAGTAACTTTGGAAAACTCAATGGACGAAAGAGAGTGTGTGTATGGTTGGATCTGGGGCAGAGAAGGGATCTGGTTTGCGGATGCGGGTGCGAGTGGACGGCACAGGGCGGCACAGCCACTGCACTGCACCACCTCTATCTTTTTTTTTTTTGGTCTCCTCTGTTAGTGGGAGGTTCCCTGGCGGTAGTGGTGGTGGTGATGACGGAGAGGGAGAGGGAGCCCAGAGGAGGGGTGGAGCGGAAAACTGTTGTCGAGATGCGGGTTCCTGCGAGCCCGCTAGTAGTGCTAAGCTTCGGCTACGGGGGGGGGGGGGGGGCCACTCTGCAGTCTGCAGCGATTTGTTTGCACAGCCACCTGCGCTTAGGTTCCCTCCACTGATACCTACGGTCCACTGGAAGAAAGGACGGAGACACAGAAAAAGGGACCCCGCTGACGACGATTTTCTCCGGCACTGTGGTCCCTGAAGAGGCCCCCGACGCACCGACCGAGAGACAGCCCAGGCGGGAAAGCTACCACAGTACATGGAGGAAAAAACATCGTGGCCAGTGTGGCTGTGTCGCGGCAGCATCCGCGCCGTGGTAATTGTTTTCCTCTGCCCCGGGGGCCAAGTCCCAGGGATTCCAGGCTCCAAGCTCCAGGTTCGTACCTTGCAGAGCATCCCAGAGATGAGGTTTGAAGTAAAGTAGCGTACCATACTACGTACACGCTTACTGCGTAAGGATACCACTATACGGGTACGGAGTAGTAGTGTATAGGTGCACTATTATCACCGACCTGGATGATCCTGATGGTTCCCTCCAGGGAAGCTCCCACTCTCACGATCAACCCTGCCATCCGACTATTAACACATTTACCTTACCTTACAAACTTACATAAGAAACCACCTCACGGGCAGGTTATGCCAACTCCTAAGGGGCAACGGTGCCCCTGTACCGTGGTGCGCGTCCACGTCCTCTACGCCTCCCCCCGTCCCATCTCTTGCAGTCTTTCATGCCGTGGCGTCGTGAGGCTCAACACCTTTTTTTTTTTTTCATCCCACATCACTGATATCAGACGCGGACGCGGACGCAGACGCGAGTGCGGTTCCTTGCGGCTCTGATGGCTGTGCGTCCTGTGTAGTGTATGCGTACCCCTTCTTCTTCTTCTTCTTCTTCCTCCTCCTGTCGGTGCCACCGCGAGGACATCTTTTCGGCATTGACAGACGCCACATCTCTTTCGTCCCATCTTTCGAAAATCGACGTGTTCCCTGTTTCGTGGCGGTGTCGTTCCCGGTCTTTTTTAGTTTTTTTCTGTCGTTGGGGTTGTTCGCTGATTCGGACTCGCTGTGCACGATGCCGCCTGACCAGTGACTGAGGGAAGGTGTACATTGTTAGGTAGGTGTCCGTAGCGCAACTCGGTGGATGGCGGGGCAATTCGACTACCCCGCCATGCGCCGTTTGACCTCCTCCTGGCCTTGCGCGCGCACACACCGAAAAAGACGACAATTTTTCCCCGTTTACCCAAGTCTTTTTTTTGCATTACGCATACCCTAACGCCACTGCGCTTCGACGACAGCACTCTACTCGCGGCAGGTACCTCGTTGTCAAACTCGTCCTCGTCGTCGTCGTCGTCGTACTCGCTTTCGTTCGCTTCGGTGTCTCGCCGTCCTTGGATCCCCGGCGTCTCGACTGCCCACCCTCCTCCTCCTCCTCCTCTCTCGACATCCTGGGCCCCCAGCGCTCTTTCTCCGTTCCTATCCGTCAATAATGGCGCTCACATCCCGCATCTCCCTGACCGGCCCGCCCGCCGAGTCCCCCGAGGACTACCTCATGTCCTCCCTCGGCGTAATCTTCCCCGACGACGTCACAAACCAACACGGCGACGCCGTAAACGGCATCGAATACACCTCCCCGCACCTACGCCGTCCCCTGACCTTTGAGCTCGCCGAGCCCGACGCCGCCGACGACCGCAAGCTCTTCAGCCACTACCTCTGGAACTCGAGCCTCCAGCTCGGCGAGTTCGTCGAGGCCGGCACCTTGGGTATCGACACCGCCGTGCCCGTCCGTCTCGGGCCCCCACTATCGCACTTTGACGTCCGCGGCAAGACAACCCTCGAGTTGGGCGCCGGCACCGCCCTGCCGAGCATCATGTCCGCCCTCCTCGGCGCGGAACGCACCGTGCTGACGGATTACCCCGCCCCGGCCGTCATGAAGTCCCTCCGCCTCAACGCCACGCGCAACATCGTCCCCGCCGTCTCCCCCACGGGCGCCCTCACGGCCCGCGAGGTCCTGGTCGAGGGACACTCGTGGGGTGAGCTCGACGATCCGTTTTCCATCGCCAACAAGCACGCTTTCGATCGGCTATTCGTCGCAGACTGCCTCTGGATGCCCTGGCAGCACGCCAACTTGCAAAAGTCCATTGCCTGGTTCATGCGAGAAGGCTCCGAGTCCCGTTGCTGGGTCGTGGCCGGATTTCACACGGGACGGCCCAAGATGCGCGGCTTCTTCGAGGAGGCGAGCCTGGCGGACGCCGGGCTCGAGGTCGAGTCCATTTGGGAGCGGGACTGCGACGGCGAGGAGCGGGAGTGGGCTTGGGACCGCGGTATCGAGGACGTGACGGTCCGAAAGAGGTGGTTGACTATTGCGGTGCTTAAACGCAAGGCTGCCGCGTGAAAGGAAAGAAGAACAAAAAGAATAAAATATACATACTATGGTGGCCACAGACAAGCGGTCACGGTCAGTGGACGACAAGAACCACGACGTGGGTGGGGTTTTGACTTATAAGGACCATTGGTGCGGACCTTGACACTCCGCTCTGTCTCTCTCGATGCTGAGACATTCAACGACATCATTTCTCGATTCAGCTCTAGGCTCTTGGGCTCTAGGCTCTAGGCCCCATCCGAGGTCCCGCTCCATTCTCCGGGGGAACTTTTGCCTTTTTGCTTTCCCTCGACAGCTCACTTGGGTACTCTCATCTCCCCTGAGAAAGGTGGCTGAAGGGGGTAAAGCTGGCGCCCGGGAGGAAGATGATGGTGATGAATTTGTTTCGCCCGCAATCAGCTGTTTACGTGCTCATGGCATGAACAACAGAGGAGCAGGAGCAGGAGCAGAAAGCAGGGAAACAGGAGGAAGAAGAAGAAGAAGAGTACCTTTGCTATGCCCGGGTACCAGGCCCGGTGCGGCTGAAAACTCAAGCCCTCGAAGCTCAGAGGTGCGCCTACGGCCCCTACGGGTACGGGTTCTCTCCTATTCCAGCTGAGCTGAGCCTGATCTACGACTCTTGATTGGTTCGATCTTAGACATTGTGGCTGGGCCCTAGATCTTTGCTGGGGGAGGAACTTTTGGTTTCGAGGCACGGCGCTTTGGAATCATTGAAACCGTCGTCGTCGTTGCCGTTCTCCTACTGAGCTTTTCCTTCCCTAGACAGCCAGACTTCTGTTGATGGGGTAAACTCCTTCGGGCGTTGGCCGACCTGGCCAGATGCAGTATTTGAGTTTGCTGTCCACAGTCAATGGCCGGGAGAAGGGTTATGAGTGGGAGAATCGTAGGACGAGGACGTGGAGGGGAATCCTACCAGAACTAGAACCAGAGCTAGGGACGGAGTTTGGTCCGAAAGGGGGCCCCGGCCTGTCAATAGAACTTGAGCCCCCTTTGAAGCTATCCACGCGCCAGCATTGAATCTACCTACATCGATTATCGAATTCTTGTCCCATCATTTTGTCCTGCGGAGCATCCGTACTTCCTCACCTATTCGCAGCATCGTAATCAACTCGTTCATCACAACCAGCTTTCCCTTCCCAAGACCCAGCCCGTCGAAGCGTCCGTCCATTGTGCATTCTTCTCTCCCGCCCTTCACATCAACCCCCCCGTCTTTTACCTAGGTCTAGCTAGGTATGTTTCCGTGTTTTCTCATTCCCAAGGCTTTTTCATATGAGACAAAAACACCCAAGTTTTGATCGGCAATCTTTTATTCGACACCACATGCAGTCATCGGTTATGATCATCTGTTCATATTGGTTTTTGTCCATGGGAAAGAATGAGAACTCAGCTGGGTGGCTGGACAGAGATACCTCACATGCCTCCGACCAGACGCATACGCATTCGGGTTCGCGAGAGCACTCCCCAAAAGCTGAGGTAGATACGTAAGTGGCTGGCAGGCAGGCAGGTAAGTACCACGCCAACAGCAACAGCAGCGAAGTCTCCCGTCTCTTTGCGTCAATCTCGGCGCTTTCCGTAATTTCAACCGGCCGTAGGGAGTGATAAACGACGGGTGAGATCCTCCTTCCCGTGACCGGATGCAGCGGCTTCGTGATAGCAAAAGGAAACAAGAGCTGCTTTCCGTTTCCTATTCGTCGACACCTCAACTTACTCGGACCTTGTTTCCCCCCGTCTGCGATGGCTGGGGGCGCTGAATAGCTTTTCTCACTGTTTAACTCCATCGTTTTGTATTACTAGAGGATTGCTATAGTATATATAGATATTACCCTACCCTCGAATTCCGTACTATTTAACCTTAACCCTTTTTATAAATTACTTATCCTTTTTTCTATTTTACCCTCTCCCTTATTAAAAAATCGTTAGAATTATAATTTTAATAGCTTATTAATAAGCTAATATTACTATTTAAAAATAAGTAACTTATTTTTATATATAAATACTAAGAGTTTTATTATTATAAAAATAGTAATAAATATATTAAAGTATTTAAAAAAGCTTTTTAATAAATTTTTAATATTATTTAAAGCGATTATTTTTAAATTATAAAAAGAAACTAAGGTATTATATTAATACGGCCTTATTTATTTTATTAATATTAATAATACCCTTTTTAATATAAGATATATTAATAATACTTTATAATTACGTTATTATATTTTATAAATTATACTTAACGTTAATAAGGATTTTAATATTATTTATTAAGTTTTTTATTAAAGTTATTATTATAAAATTAATTTAGTTATTAATATTTTAATAAGTATTTTAACTTAACTTAGAGGCTTTTATAGTTTTTAATTAGAGGTTTTTAAAAAACTTATAATTAAACTTTTTATTTATTATAGACAAAGTTATTATAATTAAAATTATAATATTATTTATAAACCTCGATAATAAGTAATTAATAATATAATTATTTTTCTCTTATAATAAGTTTAAAAAAGTATTTTAATTTAAGTACTAAGTAGGTATTATACTATTTTATTAAAACTATATTTTTGTACTTATGACTTAGAAAGAATTAACTTTTTTTAATAATAAGGTATTTAGAATAGCTTTTCTTTAAAATGCATAGGTAGCGGCTTATTCAGGGAGACTTAATGGTTTGTGAGGCACGTCCCGGTTTACGACAGCAATGGTTGATCGTCAGAGTGTTGCAATCCCTAGTGCCTATATTGTTAAGAAATCCAGCAGCTCCTCTCACCTCACCTGCATTGGTACCACGTACCACCGGATTTAAGGAACAAAGTCTATGAGGGCATCATCATTATCGTGCTTTCTCCCGCCTTGCTATGTTTGTCCTCTACGGACCAAATTTACTCTACATCAAAACATGACCCTTCCTCCAATCTCCAAGACACCAATCACGGCTACACAGCCGACTAATTAGGCGCCTCAATTGACGGTCCCTTCTCATCCACCTTGAGAATCAAGTCGTGGTTCACTCTCAAATTCTCCGCTGAGCTGAGAGCCTTGGTGACCGTCGTCTCGTGCCTCTCCTGCGTGATACGCCGCAGCGCCGTCATCAAGAACCCAGCCACGACCTCGACGGACCACTGGTCGGGAATCAGCGCCAGCACATCCTCGACGTCGAACCAGCCCCCGAAACGCTCCAGCAGCGCGCCCGTCTGCTCAATCTGGTCGCTGACGTCCTGTATGGCGAGGAACTCGCCGAGGACAGCCCGGAACAGCCGCGCTTGCATGTCGTGCGTCGGCGTGCTCTCCCGCCTGCCGTCCGGGCGCGTGTAGATGCTCGAACCGCCGCGCAGGCAGTACGAGACAGCCGTGTCGTAGTCGCCCAGCTTGTGTACGAGAAGCCGGATGGCATCCTCGTGACGCCTTTCGCGGCCGTCGAGGATGATGGTCTCGGGGACGAGAAGCTCGTCCGGCAGCGAGGATATGCGCTCCCTGATGGCGGCGGCGTCGTAATGGTGTGCACCACCCAGCAACTGCAATAGCCGCAGCCGGCTCTGCCAGACCTCGTCATCTTCGGGAGCGTTATCCGTGAGGAACTGTCGATATGTCGGTTTCGGAGCCTGTAATGCTCTGTATGATGTGTATGTGCCGGCAAACGCGTCTCGGCTCTCTTGCGACGTCTCTAGATCGCTGAGAACAACGTCCAAGTAGTAGGCGATGAGGTCGTTGACATAACCAGTGTGCCCCTTGCCAAAAACAAGATGCTCCAGGTAGTACTTGACTGCGTCGGGAGCCTCTTCACGAAGGATGGCCACAACTTCCGCTGGCTCGAAGCCGGGCGCCTTGCCCTTATCTTCTGCAAAGATTTGTACGCCGAGCTTCGGATTGCGACTCGCGAGCCAGACACCATATTCCCTCACGAGGGCCTGGCTGCTAATCTTCGTGAGATACTCACGGACGCGCTGCTCTCCATCCTGCAGCTCGCCTCCATAGTCGGCCTCACCCTCGACGATACGCCGCCAGGTCGCAAGAACGTCGCCCGCCATCTTGCGGCTTTGGTATAGTCGACTGAGTACGAAGAGGCGGTGGTATGACTCTAAAAGGGAGGCAGCTCGATCGAAGCAATCTACGCCCTTGTCGACAACGTCATATAACTCTGATCGGACCGACGAGCTCTTCCTCGCCAGGCCTGCGGGTGAAGTCTGGTCGAGCTCGAGGAGGACCAGCAACAACGCGGCATCGACAGTCCGGAACACCTCGCTCTCGTCTGCAACGCTGCCGAATCCCTTCTTCTTTCTCCACGCGGCTAGGAACCGCCGCAGAAACTGCATGACTTTGCCGTCGAGGTCCCCTATTGAGTGACTGTCTTTATGAAAATGCTCGCTTTCCAAGTAGTTCTCTGTTGTTCTCTTGACGCCGCCAAAGACCCAGATGCCTCTTCGGCTCTCTACAATCTCATTCCGTAGGCCGGGTATCAAAGACAAAACAACGCGAGGATCCAGACTACTCTCCACCAAAACTTCCTCCAAGGCTTTCAACTCAGCATCTGTGAAAGGCGTCTCTGTCGCATGCAATAAGTTGGTAAGAAGAAGGACACCAGCACGCTGGCGCAGGTAACTGAATGTCACAAACTCCAGCTCTGATTTGGCATCCTGCCCTCTAAACGAGTTGAGTACCGTGAAAATTGCACGTCGGTTGAGTTTGGATGGGTCTGAGGTCCCGTCTTGCTCGCATGCAGCTTCTAGTCGGGCTTCCAGCCGCAGCAACGTCGGGTTCCGAATTGCCCACCAAATATGATCCTTTGCCCATACTGCTATCCTGGAGTTGGCATTTGCCAGTCGCCTTGCAAACTCACTCTCTTCAGCGTTTCTGTTTTCTTCCCACCCTTCGGGTAATGCGTCTTCTTCCTGGGAGTCTACATCACGCTCGAACAGTTCTCGCTCTTTCGTCATCTGCTCTAGAGATGATGCGGTGCGAGAGTCTGCGCTTCTCGGTGAGAATATCGGGTTTTCGGCAAGGCCTCCAGGAAACGGGGAAAACTTCCTCTGACAAAGTCTTTCGACAATCTCTTCGAAATGGGTCTCGTCGGTACCCATCAGCGAGCGAATCCCCAAAGGTGTCGTTTCATCTCCTCCTGATGTTTCCGTCTCCAACCACCATTTAGAAGTTTCTGGGTCCGTCCCGTCCGAATCCCATCTTTGAATCTCCAGTCCGTGACGGAGCCCTGCTTCCGAGTCCTTCGTCATGGATGCAATGACATATCCCTCCTCATCCTGCTCCAGTGCCATCCTGGACGATGCCTGGTTAGAGGCCCCACCGTCAACCACCACTTCCCGCGGGTATCTGTCAAACTCGACAGTCGGTCTCGTTGGGTCTCCGTCAAGGTTCACAAACATCCCGATGCCCGGGTCCAAGGGTCCAGTGCCAGTGACAAGTAGGAATTCTTCAGCTGTTGGCGAAACAATGTGGGGTTTGAGGAAGACGGGAGCCGACTTTGTTGGAGACGTCTCCGCGCGAGCAGTTGCAGGCGCCGCTGGCAAGGGCTTGTCTGTTAATGGCGGCGGCAAAGGGCCTTCGCCCGAAGGTCTTGGACTGGCAGATGGAGTCGGTGGTGAAGATCCTTGCCGTGCGCTTTCGTCGGCTCCTCGAGGGCTGAGGTCCCTCCGTCCACCGCTGAGCAGACCGCCCAGGCTCGTGCTTCTAGCATGGCCGTGAGGGTCACCAGCGGAGAGGAGCGGTCGGTTATGGGCGGCCGATGCACTTCTCAAGATACCGCCATCTACACTGCCTGCGATATCTTGGGCCTGACCTATTTCACCCGCAGGTTGTGAGTCGTCCAAGGAGGATATGGTCATGAGCGGAATTCTAAGCTGCCTGCCAACATCGAGCAAGGAGTAACTTCGTGAATCAGCAACACACGCAATGGAGTCGCGACGAATCGATATTGTAGTCCCGGGTACGTCAATATTCTAAACAGCCGTTAGTCATTCATTGCTTATAGGACGAGGCATTGCGTACCTTGACTGCTCTTGCAACCTCCCCGATCCTCACAACCTGAATCCTTCGCATCAGCGATAGGAGGATGAATACCCCTGCAGCGGATTCGTCAACATCATCTTGGGGATCGTTCAAGTCCACTCCGCCAACCCAATTGCAGTTCTTCACCTGCGTAGTTCCGAATACGGGGCTGAATTCAGGCAGAGAGTAGAAGGTGACGGTCTGGTTGCAAAGCACACAAGCCTTTCCGACCTTGGGCAGAAGGAGAATCTGTTGAATGCCTGGGAGGGCGTTGCTGTTCTCGGCAAAGGCCGGCCGCAGACGGGAGGCAAGTATAAAAGATGGTCGTCCGGCCGGATCGGCGGGGTCGGCTGGGATCTGGACAAAATGAAGCAATTCGGATGCGCTCGTGCCGATGTATAGGTTGTGGTCTGGTGGGAAGATGATCAGCACCGTGATGAGCCATCGGAGAGGTCACATCTACCTACCTAGGTATTCGACACAATTGATCTTAGTCCCCTCGTCAGCGCCATCTGCCGACAACGGCACATCCTCCAACAATGTGCGCAGGATAAAGGGCCCGTCATTGCGGGCGATCGCATTGGAGCTCCCGGACGCAGAGGAGGTCTGGTCGTCTGGATCCTCGGATGCCATGTTAAATCAGTCGTACTATCATGAGTGCCGTAATGCCATTGTCGAGCTCATGCGACGGTCGTCTCGAGGCGTGAAAGGGTCGTTCTGCTGGGAATATGATGCAGCTGGGAAGCTCCGAAGCTGGGCTGGTAATCTGATGACATGGTCCAGAGGTAGTGTAGGTACATCCATCACCTTAGGTACGTACAGCTAACCTAACCGTAGGCGGATTACCTATGTAGCCCACCTGTCCTGGATAACCGGGTCGCTGTGCTAAAGGTACTGGCGCAGGCATGTGCCTGGGGCGGCCCCGTAGGGACGGAAACGACGAGCTGTTGCTGCCTCTGAACCCCTGCATGCCGTGTGCAGCCAATCAACTTGCTGCCCCGAAAGGGAACACGTTCCCCGAATCAGCGAGCTCAGTCGAAACACTTTCGATCTGTACCGAACGACAACAGCTACAACGGACACCGGCGGATTGAAACAACTCTTCAACCCCGCCGTCAACCTCGACTTCTTGGAGTTCCATGGTCTCCCGGTGATGAAGTGATCATCATTCGAATTGCGACCGAGAAAACCGACTCAACATGGCAGACGTAGAATCCGTCCTGGCGGCCAATGCCAACGCGCCGCAGCCAGAGGCACCTTCGGACACTCCCAACCTGCCCGAGGGCGGCAACAAATTCCAGCATGCCATCTCGGCCTGGAGAAGTGAGGGAAACCCTTGGCTATAACTTTGAAAACATAGTCTGACCGAGCTAGCTATCGACTACACGAACCTCGTCGCAAACCTCGACAACACTGCCTCCGAGATCGTCACATACCAGCGAGACTCGACCGTCCAGAGAAAGGAACTGGCCCAAAAAACAAAGGACTTCAGGAAGCTCGATGATGCAACAAAGCTGGGCGAGATCAAAGGCCTGTTGAAAGGTATGGCGTCTTCATTGCCGAAGTGTTGTCCTTACTAAATGAATAGCGTACCAAACCTTCATCGATCTCCTTACGAACCATTCAAAGTCAATCAACTCGGCCTTCCTCCAGACTTACACATCCTTATCCGATGCGCCTGATCCATACCCGCTTCTTGAAGCGTCGGTCGACTCCATGCTCGTGTCTGAAGACACTCTTCCGAAGCTGACTGAGGAAAATCAGCACCTGCAAAAGTCCGTCGCTAAGCTGACGACCCAGCTGGAGGATACCGAGAGCAAGCTGCAGACAGAATCTGCCGCGAAGAGGGAGCTCGAAAACAATCTGGATAGCAAGGTAAAGGAGGTGGAGGCTTCGTGGGTGGCAGTGCTCGATGAAAAGAAGGACAACTGGGCCGCGAAGGAGAAGACGTTGGAAGAAAAGGTTGAGAACCAGGAGCGTCTGCTCACCGAGATCAAGGCGAGCTACGAAGTCAACCAGCGCCTCGGAAAGACAGACGACGGGGATGCGGAAGGCCAGGCAGGCCACGTCACCAGTGCCGAAATCGAGATGCTTCACTCAGACCTTGACCGGACCAGTCAGCGGCTGGCCGAGATCGAGGCCCGGAACGAGCAACTGCGACTGGAACTGGCACAGGCAAAGTCATCCGCCACCACTCAGACGCCCACATCCTTGGAAGACGACCCTGCTTACATGCGCATGCGGTCGGAAAATTCATCACTCATCCGGAAACTCGATGCTAGCAGGGTTGAGAAGGAGGGGCTCAAGCGTGATCTGGATTCCAGGCTGCGCAGCTTGGAGAGAGAGGTTGGCCTGCTAAAGGAAGAAAGGGACAACCTCAAGTCCAAGGTGCAGAAGTGGAGTGACTACGACGATGTGAAGCAGGAGCTTGAGGTACTCAAGAGCATCGAGTTTTCCACAGGCGACGATGATGATTTGAAGGATGTGGTCGAAAGTGCCACAGAGTCCAAGGGCCAAAGTGACACTTTGGAGAAGCTCCTCTTGGCACGGAACAAGAAGCTCGGTGACGAGCTGACGATCCTGCGCGTTTCCCACCAAGACTTACAGACTAAGCTCTCTGACCTCCAGGAGGAAATGTCGCGAACGAATATGGACCTCGAAAAGTCGCAGAAACTAAACGAGCGACTCGAGAACGACCTCGCGACGCTGCAGTCAGAGTCGTCCAACGCGTTCCCTTCCGGCGCGTCGGTGGCAGGAACATTCAACCGCTACGCCCCATCAATTGCACCGGGACGAAGGGGAGGAGGTGGTGGTGGTGGTGGAAGAGTTTCGCCAACATCGTCCATCATCAGCGGAATTGACCCACGTATGGGTGGTGGAGGAGAGCCCATGGGCGGCGGCTCTGGCATTCTGCCAATGATCACAGCCCAACGTGACCGTTTCAAAAAGCGAATTGCCGAACTAGAAAGCGAGTTGTCGGACACGCATCGCACCGTCTCCCAGCTGAGACAAGAAGTATCAGCTCTTCAAAAGGACAATCTCAGTCTTTACGAGAAGACGAGGTACGTCTCGACATACAATCGGGCCGGACCTTCAGCAACGTCGTCTTCAGCGGCATTCTCATCTAACCCGAACCCTTCCACGGTCTCCATTGGAGGCAGCGGCAACCCGGGAATTACAATGGACAGATACAAAAAGGCATACGAATCGAATATTTCGCCATTTGCCGCTTTCCGAGGGCGGGAGTCTGCTAGGGCCTACAAGCGAATGAGCTTCCCCGAACGAGTGGTATACTCAGTGACGCGGATGGTGCTGGCCTCTCGGACTAGTAGAAATCTATTTGCGGCATACTGTGTCGCGTTGCATTTACTCGTCTTCTGCTCGCTATACTGGCTCGGCACGGTGGACGTGGAGCAGCACGCCAGCAACCTTGGCAAGTCGGTAGCAGGAGCCGCCGCCGCGGGCGCCGGGGGCCTCAAGGGAGGAGCCGGAAACGGCCACGGCGACTGGCAAGAGGAGGGGTTCAGTGGGCACTAGACGGTAGTCAGTAAGGTGTCTACTTAAAGTGACGCCGAGAGGGAGGGAAACGTGATGGATGTCGATTAAGCCAGCGACGAACGACTCTATGTGGGCGAAAACTGTATGCATAAAACTTGCTTTCACCGACAACTGTACGATTGGGCGTTAGGACATGTGGTATGAACCGCGGCAGTACTTTAACTTGGCTTAGTGAGGGATCTTGTCAGAACACAGATTCCAGATCACTTTGAATATTAGCTACCGGGGATGAACGGGAACTTTGTTGCATTATCCGAGATCATCTGGTCAAGGTCATACCTTACCTTAGATGGCGTCAAGCAGCGTGGGAAAGCGTGGCTCCCCACCGGTCCACCACGATGTTCTATTCTAGGTTTTCCTTCCCGCTTCAACCTAAGGTAGGGTGGAAGGCTTTCTCCAGTCCCGAGCTGCCACCCAAATTTCCCAAAAGACCAGCGACGATTCCCATTCGACGAGAGATTCCCGTTTGACGCTGGCCCGTCTGCGCGGCCCGGGTGGGGACATGGACCTTGGAACCAATGAGAGGTTGTCGCGGCCCTGGTTGGGAGCGCGGCAAAAGAAAGCAAACCTGACCTTGGGAAATGTACAAGAGCGGGTACATGCAACGTGGGCGCGTCGCCGGGCCAGAGACGGGTACAACTTTTTTTTTTTTTTTTGGCAAGGTGCACGAAGGTGGTACCGTCCATGGGTAATCTCAGGTGGTTTGGCCTATCAGATGTGAGGGTTGACGCGATCTCTCTTGTTGCTATTTCAGGTTTCTAGCCGCTGTGGTTCGTTATTTCGAAGGACACCCACATGGGTATGCACACAGAGAGAAATACATACTCGGTCAAAGTCCAGATGAGGCAGGCCTCGTCTTTCATCGATACTCACCATTCTGATGCAAATGAACAGACGGATCAAGAAGGACAAAGGCAGACTGAAAGGTGCTATGTAATACCTAGGTAGGGTATACAACGGCCAGAAGATGACACGTCAAGTCGTCTTCACTAAGGCATCTTCACTCGCATAGATAGTCCTCTTGTCCAAAACGATATCGCCGTAGTATCTCAAATACCTTGGGTAAGTAATCCAATCTCAACTCGAGTCCATAGAAACAGACAGAACTACACGGCCGCGACCTCGAATCCTCGAGTCCTGAGCAGCGAGCAGCACGACACCACCTTCAAAAACGTGGAGCGCGTCGCTACTTGCCACCAAACAACGAGGCCGTTTGAAGCGGGCCGGGCGCTTGCACCTCCCCTGACCCCGGCGAAGATCGCCTGGCATCCACACACCCCGCTGGTATTACTTGCATCTCTGCCATTCCACTCATTCGTCCTCGCTCCCATCCTCGTCCCTCATGCCCTCTTCCCGCCCGTCGTACGGTTGCATGGCATGGCGGCTGCCAGTCTTGAACCATGGCAGCCGCTGCGAATACCGAGCCGTTGCCTCGCACACCACGGCGGCAGACTCTTCCCCCCTCCCCCGGCTATCCTTCCAATCCCCCCCGCCATCTTTTTTTGTAACCCTCCATTGATACCATGCCATTCTGGGCAGGTCAGGAACCTAGGGCCCTAATGAGATGCATTGGTGGCCGTTTCTTTGCCGCCGGGGTGGGAGGAGGTAAGCGATTTGAGGATGTCGTGGTATATTAGAAACGGCTGCCCGCGTGCACAACGGAACTTGTGTAGCCCACCCCTTCCATCTACCACGGTTCATCTCATATATCGAGCGACGAATCTGCTTCGGTTTTTCTTGAGTTTTTTCATTATTTCCTAGTCTCGTATTTCATTGGTTTCGTTTGGGTTTTTACTTGCTTGAAATTCTGGTTCGATATTTCCACTCTTCTGGGGAACGAAGCATAATCACCAACACCAACAACCAACAACCGAACATCATCGAATACCTTGACATCCGCCCTATTCTACTCCACATTATCACCCCCAACCAATTCACGCAATTACATATAACCAATATGCGTTGCTCAGCACTGTTGGTGCCGGCTCTGGCATCCCTTGCCCTTGCTGCGCCAACCTACCCCACGCTCAACCTCCAGGCCGCGTTGCCGGGTAGCATCGAGCAAATCTCCGAGTACTTCAACATGCTGGCGACCAAGGTTCAGGCCACCAAGTATCTGTCAACCGCACCAGTCTGCGACCTCTCCACGGCCAAGCTACCTGAAGGTGAGTTGAGAGATCCCGCGGCCTGGTAAAAACCAGAAAGACCTGCATACACTAAAACCACATGCCCAGCCGCAACCCAGACTCTCGGCAAGCCTAGAGATGGCCTCACTCTCATGCACATCGCCATCGGCCGTGGCACCCAGAACTACACCTGCGACACCAGCAACTCGACAGCCGTCCCCGTCGCCACCGGCGCCGTCGCGACCCTCTTCAACGCCAGCTGCGTCGGCTCCCTGTACCCGGACCTGCTCGACAAGCTGCCCGTCGTAGCCATGGACTTCAACCTCACCGAGGAGGAGACGAACCGCCGCCTGGGGCCGAGCAACCTCGCCATTTCGGGCCACCACCTCTTCACCGGAAAGGGCGTCCCGCTCTTCATGCTCGAGAACGACGGCGCGTCTGTCGGCGACTCGTACTGCGCCAAAAACGCGTCCATGCCCGCGCCCCTCACGGCTCAGTCCGGCCAGCACGGCGAGGCGGCGGTTCCCTGGCTCCGGCTGCGTACCGTCGAGCCCAGCACCGGAGACGTCCAGGAGGTGTACAGGATACACACCGTCGGCGGCAGCGCGCCGGCTTCGTGCCAGGGCCAGGCTGCTAATATTGAAGTCCAGTACGCTACACAGTATGTCGAAATCATCCCTAGTCGAGATTGTATGGATCAGTTTGACTTACAAGAAACTTTAGATATTGGTTCTTTTCTGGGCCCGCCCAATGAGACCGTACCCGCTTGATTAGCACCAGTTCTACGACAGAGAAACAATTGTTCTGATTCGAAAGGCGTTGGAGGTGTTTTTTGGGTTCGGCAGAAATATGTCATAGTTTGTTCTTATTCGATATACCATCATGTATTCCCACGGCAATTATATGGGTCATCATCCTATTGATGAACTGTTGTGCTGTGGCTGGAAATTAGGTCGGCCAGTAGACTGAAGCCGCCAGATAACACTCGTAATGGAATGGTCGTCTGTTGAGTCTTGTGGAGCCCATCGAGGGGTTTGTATTAATGCAGGAGTGAATGTTTGTTCTGATGTTTACAGGCAGGGAGACCAACAAGGTGAAGATGTTCGAATCCGTAAACGGCGTGAACTCAACAAGCCTCCCTTTCGTCATACTTTGTGAATTTGGAGGCCAAACTCATGAGAAGTGCCTGCCGCATTCGGAGGGTAAGTACCCAAGGGAATGAGAATAATCGAACAATGAGGTGGATGAGATAAGTAGGAGGAAGAATCAGTGACACTCGGAGCAAGTCTAGGCTCAGCCTCAGGTAGACCCTGACTGGGTCCACCACCTCGGTAGCCCCGCCCCGGTCCTTGCCAGAAGCACCCCGCCAAAAGCACAGCGGATCGCGACTGCCAAACAATCCCATGTTGAACACCTGAAAGGGCTGAGGTAAGGTACTCGCTGATCCCTAGGAAAGCGTCCCACCTTAGGGCCACATGCTGATCCGAACAGCCAATGATTTAGCTTCTTTTGTCTGAGGTGACGCTAAAAAGTGGTCTCACAAACCTCCGACCTGGGCACCTGCCACCAGTGACTTCACTTTTCTCGGCTCCTGCTGGCTGCGCTTTGCAAAGAACTTTCGTGGACTGTCACCTCTCCACTGGATTTTTTGTTCAATTCATTGCTTCAACATCCCGCTTCAACCAAATATCTCTTTGAGCCGATTGCTCACATTATTTGTTGCGCATCGTCAATAGCCAGGTACGCAAACAGCAAATAAATCTTTCATCATAATGCATTATTGCTAACTTCCTAGCCAAGACGATTGTGAACCTTTTGACGATTGCTCGATCGCCCGCAACTCGTTCTTTGATCGATTTTTGCATCCGACCAAGCGCTCCTGCAGCCACGAAGCACAATTATCCAGCGAACCACTCATTGGTATCAATAGCCAATATTCCCTCGACTTTGGGATAGGCCACTGTCAAGCATATATTCTTACAGTCTCCCATTCCATTGTCCGAATCGTCCGACCCGACAGCCCACTGCCGAGCGACCGATGAATACCGAGCTCCTCCGACTCCCTCACTAAGCCTTGACAACCGACCCCCGAGTCCAGCCAGCCAAGCTCACCCATGCTTGGTTAATTCATGGTCGAAATGAACAGAAGGGCACCTGCTTCTTCGGAAATGCCCCGCAAACGCCGGCGGATACGAGGACAGAGTGCCATGGCTTCAGACCCTCCCCAGCTCACCTGGCCCATTGGCCGGGTCCCAGTTGAGATCTTTGACGAAATCACCACCTACCTTTCGCGACCGGATGTTAAGAACCTCCGCTTGGTCAACCACGAGTTTGACAAGATGATTTCATCCAAGTACTTCCGCAACGTTGTGGTTCCTTTCCGATCCGAGATGTACAAGGCGAGAAAGCAGAAGTACCTGGACGATGGAGGTCAAGGCCAGCCTCAACTTGGAAAGGATACCCTCTTCTCCAGTGGCATGCGTATCTTCCAGTCTTTCGGCGAGCATATTCTTCGATTTGCCTTGTCGCTTGAGCTGGATGAGGAGAGCCTCGCCTACCCTCCCATCAAGCCGACCCAGCAAGCCGTTACCTCGTACTGGGGTATCTACCGCTGGCCTCATGAGTCGTATAACCGATATGCGGAGCTTGAGGGGCTTGAGCAGACTGCCGATGAGACAGCGTCCATGACAGAGGCCTTGAAGTGCCTGGTTCAGGTTCAGGAGCTTGGGCTGTGTTGCGATGCCGGGCTGGGCTACCTTCTGGGACCCGACCAGCAGTTGGAGAGCCCTCCTCTGCCTCACCCGGTCTTTGGCCTTCGCAATCTGCGATACCGAAACCTGCAGCGACGCCTAGCGCGAGCCGACTCGGACTCTATGAACGCCCGAAAGCTCGCCTTCGAGAGTCCTCGAGATTTCAAGTACACGGTGCTGGAGGCCATGGTCACGAATGCCGGGTACACGCAGGCGCAGGCTAAGGACGCGATTGCTATACTCTTGAGCACCGAGAACGTGTCACTCACTAACATTGACTTTGACGAACGTACCGCCGCTGCTGCTGCCGCCGCTGCCCATGCGGCCGCCCAAGCAGCCCAGACCACCGCAGATGCTCGCGCCAACGTAGCTGCTCACGCCAACCACAACCTTGCCAACATTGCCCAACTCATCGCCCAGGGTCAACCTGCTCCGTTCTTCAATGCGGCTGATTTCGATCCTCCCGACCATGATGATGAGATTGCCGAGGCAAACGCTGAGGCGAGAGCGGCGGCCACTGTGCTTAATGAGCTCACGGCTGGCCATCCACTGCAGCCCAGGAATCTGACTAGAGCTCAGAAGGAGATGCTGCTGGAGCTGGAATGGGCCCACAGGGCTCTCATTCAATCTTATGTCCTCGCCCTCATCGACAACGCCCGAATGAATAGCTTTAATGCTTTGACGACCCTCACGATCGCCAAGATTCCAAGTAGCCACGTCTACATGTTCCAGAGGTCGGATTTCTGGCAGAGTCTGCCCAACCTAACCAACGTTGCCCTTGCTGTTGTAGCCGATTGGCGCCAGGTTTCTAAAGTCGCCCCTGGTTGCGTCGAGGACGACTTCGTCTCGCCTGTCAAGGCGGTGACCAAGGTCCACCGTCTGATTCAGGACCACATCGCGGCACAGTTCAACATCAAATTCCTCCATTTTGAGTGGATTTGCGGTGGCGAGTTCGCACCCGGCATCACCCAGCGGAATCAATACGTGCTTCCCGCTCCGTTCTGCGACCCGATGCAGATGGTTCATCCTGAAGGTGCCAAGTCGCCAGACGCCTTGCTCACTCTACCGCACATCAGACACCTGTCGCTCAAGAACTGCTACTCGGCGCCTCACGTCTTTCTACAGGTTCTACGAACAATGGGATCGCAGTCTCTGGAGAAGTTGGAACTCGAAAGTGTCTCTCTCACGGGCGCGCCTACGAGAAATCCTGGTGCCGAGAATGCCTTTGGACCTGCACTCGTTATTGGCCCGGCACATGGTCCAGGCATTGTACTTCACGGACATGGCCAGGCTCAAGGTGCGCAAGCCGCGGGTCAGAATCAGGCGCCTCCGTTGCCGCCGGCACCTCTTCAACCGCAAGCCAACCCGGGCTTCGGGGGTGCGCCAGGGGTTCCGGCCGGAGTGGTGATCCCTCAGGGCCCGCTGCATGCTCCTGGCATCTTGCCGGCGCATCTGGCTGGCATGATGATGCAGCAACCTCTTCCGCAAATCGCCAATGTGGCGAACAACGCGGTGCCGCCTCCGCCTCCACCTGATCCAATGGCCGGCTGGGGTAGGATGCGACTAAGACAGCCTCGACTGCTGTCTTGGGCTGGCATCATTGAACGTCTCGCACCGACTCCACCGATTCAAGAGATCATGGTCGGTCAAGGTTTCCAGGATGACGAAGAGGATTGGGTGGACGATATTGTACGGAAAGATGACGGATTCTCGCTCTTGCCTCGGCCGCACAGTCTCGTCAGGGAGAAGGAGCTGCTCAGTATCCACCACATCTCCCTCAAGTCCTGCGGCTACGTGGTCCTGGACATCCCGATGGTTGACAATCATAGCATCATGCCAACCACCTCCCCGTGGCAAGAGCCTGCGGAAGTGACTGCGCGTCGCCGGGAGCTCATGCCCTTCATGCAGTCTTGCGGCGACAGGCTAGCGGCTAAGATCACCAATTACATCAGCAACCAGGAGCACTTTAACCTCTCGACCGCCTTTGGTATGGACACGGAGTGGACCGGTGTGTACGACGAGGAGGTTATTGAAGCTGCAAAGAGGGATGGCATCGTTCACCCTGGAAGAGGACGAATCACGGGCATGATTACCAAGATGGCTGAGCAGGTTTAAGCTGCACCGCTTGATTACGATGAAAACTGTATAATGATTGGGATTTGGGTGGGCTGCGGGAGTCTTTTGATTTTTCGGCGTTTTTTGGCAAAAGATACCACGGGCTCAAAATTGGGACGGAAAGGCGGGCGGGATAATGACTGGATGAGGGACCCATAACTCCGTAGTCACCTTACCTTATAGTAGGAAGACAACAAAAGTTGACAACACAATCATCGTCATCATTACCTGTAAGCCGGGCTGAAATGCGTCTCTTACGTTGCATTCAGAGAACAAGACTGTTCTTTGGGCCGACCATAGTAGGAATTACAACCTCAAGACTCGAAGAGTTGGGCAGCGTAATACTCCATACTGATCACAGAGGGCGCGACATTGTAGTAATTTGATGCAGAAGCAAGCCAAAATTGAATGCATTTCCTCGTAACCGTTTGACGCCGATGCCGATGCCGATCATGGTAAACTAGGGACCGCCATGGGGGAATCATTGTTGCATGTTTGTTTATTGGTGGCCCATGCAGACCGTTGCGCGTGTGAATTCGCATGCCAATCCCTAAATGCCATGAGACCATGGCCTTCCTGTACACCAGCATATGAAAAGCCGCAAAGTTCTTTTTTGTATTTGAATCCACGCATCCATCCACGACCCAAAGACCAAATCCATCCCAGGGGGGTTGTTGTGGTGTACCGCGCTTGTCCACACTTCGCGCCGACCCTTTTTGCTCACGTCATGAACCGCACACACGCCACAAAAATCGAAGATCCGTTTCTTAAAAGATTAAAGAGTTGGAAAGTTCGTTTATGCGGCGGTGATGGCCTGGCGGGTGCGGGCACCGCGCTGGCGGGAGTTGAGGCGGACGTCCTCGCGACCGGCGACAGCCTCGGACTTCTGGACGACCTCCTCGCCCTCGGTGAGGATGAGCTCGATGTGGCAGGGGTTGGACATGTAGGGGTTAATCTGTGGCATGGGTTAGTTCGTCCACTTTCTGCTGCTGGTCTCTATCTTTCTCCTTCTAAGAGGATAGCCTCGGGTGATAAAACATACGCGACCGTGGGCACGGTATGTGCGTCTCCGTTGCTTGGGGGCCTGGTTGACCTGGATGTGCTTGACGACAAGGTTGCCGGTGTCGAGGCCCTTGGCGTCGGCGTTGGACTCGGCGTTCTTGAGGAGGCCGAGGAGGAACTCGGCGGACTTGACGGGCCAGCGGGCCTTGGTGACGCCGAAGGCCTTGCCCTGGGCGGTGCGGCCGATGGAGCCGGCGTAGCGGCGGAAGGGGACGGCCTCCTTCTTCTCGGAGACGTTCTCGAGGAAGGTAACGGCGCGCTGGAGCTTCCAGCCGTTGATGGCCTGGGCGGTCTCACGGGTGTTCTTGAAGGACACACGGAGGTAGGCACCGCGCGCGCGGGCCGACTTCGCGGGGGCGATCTCTTGAGCGGCGTAGCGAACCTGAATTTGTGACGATAAGGGTCAGTCTTTTGGGTTCTGGGATATAACGAGCATTGTATGTCGCCATGTGTTCCGCATGTTCCTCATTCCTCCTCTTGGTCGACCATCATGAATGACATAATTGAGTCACAAGTCCAGTTTTTTCTCTTCCTTTGACATCGTGAAATTTCGACCCTCTTTCGACGAGGGGCAAGGGGATCGTCTCGGCGGCTGCAAACAGGGTCGAAATTTCGTCGATTGCACAGATTTCCTCCTCTTCATCGTCGACGCGGAACACAGGCAAAGCGAGCGGCGGTGCGACTTACCATCTTAATCGTTGGGTGTGGTGATGGTTTCGGTGGTCGGTCGGTGGTCGGTCGTGGGCTGGCTGTCAGAGTGAGGTTAGAAGAAATTCACAACTTTCGTTGACCCTAGCCCTCCTGCGCCGGGTTGGCTCGCTTGCGGATCGGGAAACGGCAGGGGGGTCGGCCTTAGGGTTCCGCAACCCTATGGGGTAAATGGGCGATTTCTTCCAGCTTTGGCCGGGGGAAAAATCGCAATGGGAAATCTGATGAGACTCACGATTATTCCGGTGAACTGATGAACAGTCTGGTGTTTCGTTTGGTTTTTCTGGAATGAGGTTGCGGCTTGGGGAGTTGGGACAAATGGAAAGGATGATATTTTGAGGTGTTCTTCAATTCCGTTACAAGCCAGGTACTGGACACCACCACCTGGTTTCTGACGCTCCTGCCTCTCCCCGAATCTGAGACCCCACTTTGCAGGTGGGCCCTGTGTCCCTCCTTATCTAATCGTAAAAAAAACTTGCCGGAAGGCGGCTCCTCTGAAATTCCGCATTGTCCAATCACCTTGATGACCCCACAATCTTTCTGTCAGTTTGGCCCGTGCGTACTCTTGAAGCTCTCAGAAAAAAAGTCCGACGAAAAATTTCAAACACCCAGCCCAGTATCCAGTTGTCCCAACCCGCCACCAAGAGGATTAGCATTATCTGCGCCTCTCACCCCCAATTCGACTCTTCTTTCGCAACTTGGGAACTGCCAGTCTTGTGCTCTTTCTTTTTGCAACAACTAGTCTTTTCCGACTACCCGACACACATTTAAAAGACAATGGCTCCCTTCACTCCTCGTGGCGGCGGTCGTGGTGGTTTCGGCGGTGGACGTGGTGGTGGTGACCGCGGTGGCTTCGGCGGCCGTGGTGGTGGCCGTGGAGGCTTCGGTGGTGACCGTGGCCGCGGCGGTTTCGGTGGACGCGGTGGTGGTCGTGGTAAGTCTTGGGAGAATCTGCTTTTCGCGATGTCGAGTGCGAAAGAATGAGTATGCTAACATGATCCTGCAGGCGGTGGTCGCGGTGGTCCTGGCGGTGGCCGTGGCCGTGGAGGTGTCTCCAAGGGCGGCAGAGGCGGCCGTGGTGGTGCTGCTGGCGGTCAGAAGGGAGGTCAGAAGGTCATCGTGGTATGTCACAACCTAAGGTTTTTCTTCTCGTGGTGAGGATTTGTCCATTAACAAAAGATCGCAGGAGCCCCACCGTCACGAGGGTGTCTTCGTTGTCCGTGGCAAGGAGGACGCCATCGCAACCCGCAACATTGTCCCCGGCGAGTCCGTCTACGGCGAGAAGCGCGTCTCTGTCGACAACCAAACCCAGAACGAGGACGGCACCACCACAACCACCAAGATCGAGTACCGCGTGTGGAACCCCTTCCGCTCCAAGTTGGCCGCCGCCGTCATCGGTGGTCTCGAGAAGCTCTACTTCGGCCCCGGCTCCAAGGTTCTTTACCTCGGTGGTGCCTCCGGTACCTCAGTCTCCCACGTCGCCGATATTGTTGGTCCTACCGGCTTCGTCTACGCTGTCGAGTTCTCCCCCCGTTCCGGCCGTGATCTGATCGGCATGGCCGCCAAGCGCACCAACGTCGTCCCCATTGTCGAGGACGCCCGTCAACCCCTCAAGTACCGCATGCTCATGCCCATGGTCGACTGCATCTTCGCCGATGTTGCCCAGCCCGACCAGGCCCGTATCGTCGCCATGAACGCCCACCAGTTCCTCAAGGTCGGCGGTGGTATCCTCATCTCTATCAAGGCCAACTGTATCGACAGTACCGCCCCCGCTCACAAGGTCTTCGCCATGGAGGTCGAGAAGCTGAGAGGAGAGCGCATCACTCCCAAGGAGCAGCTTACGCTAGGTTCGTAACCCCCTTTTTCCTCTCTGGAAGTGGAAACCCTCCCATGACTAACACACTATCACAGAGCCCTTCGAGCGTGATCACTGCCTCGTAGCTGCCGAGTACTCGCGCTACGCGAAATAAATGTGAAAAAGAAATGGGAGAAAAAAGTATTGTATGCGTTGCGTAAAGAAGAGTGGTGGGTGAGCGGTTGAATCTGTACATTTGCGAGATTCCCACGAGATTTGACTTTTGCTTCAATGGGTACGGTCGGTCGGACTTCATCTGGACAGGCGTTAGGAATTTAGGACTGGTCTAGTTCAAAACTTGCATGTTAACCCATATAGGTATTCAAAAAGTCCCTCGCGGTGAAAATGACATGTTTAATGGGCTTATAGACTTGAATAGGAGTAGTAGTTCGTTGCGCTTTTTGCTGCCTCATATTGTTCCCCCTCGTGGTGACTGGCTCTCGCAGTGACTAACATCCATCCTGATATGCGATCATTCACACTCCGTCTGGCTCCGATTACCTCCATTATCGAATGTCAGTAGAAGCTCACGAACCCCTATCCCCATCATGTACGTCTAGACTTCATGCAGCCCAACCCCCGCTTCACTCAATCACATCCACAAGACTTAAGCCAAGTACCGGCGCCCCACACATGTCCGACCCATCCTCTACCTGATCGGCCCACGACACTAATTCCGACGAGAGCTGGGCCGTCGGCCTGCCCTCCAGCTGCTGCCGCGGTTGCTCCTCCTGCCCACCCCCGATTCTCCACCGGTCCTCGTAGCACCCGTACTCCACGAGGTCGCGGGCAATGTACACGACCCGCTCCTGCTCCGGCTGCCAGTCCATCGGCTCAGCCGGGCCTCCCGCGCCGACGCTGCGGGCCCACGACTCGACCGATGAGCGTTGCTCGTCCAGGAGGGACAGGATGCGATTACGGAAGCGGTAGTTGTCGACGACGAGGTCGCTGCACTGTTGCTGCTCATGTATCTCGCGTCCGGTATCGTCTATGATGCTGCGGCGACGTTTCGAGGCTCTGTGGATCACCGGCTCGAGATTCAGCTCGAGGCCGGGCTTATGCTTAGGTTTTCGGCGGCGTCTCACGATGTCCAGGTAGCTGTCGTCGTCGTTCTTTCGGTTGTCTTTCTTATGGCCCGGTGTTCTTGATGTCCTGAGAACGAGGGCTGTCGAGGGCGAATCTGGTGGCATGGGGATCATCTTCAGATCGCCATCTGTGTTCGAATTGGCTTCGATGTGGTGATTGTGTCGGTGGCGTTTGGGGGAACGAGGGGGAGGATGGTGTTCATACAACGACCGGTGTCTTCCTGTTACGTGATATTCGACGTCTTTTCGCGGGGGGTATCGACGGGCCTTGATGATGGGGATCCCTTCTG